GGATGTTAATCTGAATTAATGTAAGTCATGGATTATAATGTTGCAGTTGCATTTGAGTTAATTTGCATTATTCTGACCAACTCAGAAAACTAAAACTATTATCCCAAGCAAAATAATGGTTTTGGTGTTCATGAATTTGATAAATCTATTTTTATATCCAATGAAGCCAACTGTTTTATTTTAAACCTCTGCTAAAAAATACTTCTGTATAGAGTTACTCATTTAAAATACAATGAAATGTTTAAAATTGTATTAAAACACTGAACAATTTTTAATAAAACCTGTCCTTAAGGTATATCTACTATACATAAATCAGATAATTAACATTACTTAGAAGTTACAATTAATATTGTCAAGTATTTGAATTTTAAGCACTGCAGTTAAAAACAAGGGGAAAAATCCCATCATTTTGTAGGAAAATGACTGTGTAGGTCTTTGAACAGCTAAATTAAGTTTAGAAACACAAATGTAGCACCAAAGCAAATGCACAGAGGGAACTGTGCTTGTACGTTCCTCTTCCTTTTCCTTCCAGTCTCCCACCTCAGTAAATGGTAGCTCTTCTAGTAGTCGAGGACAAAAACCACGCAGTGACTGACGAGGCTTCCCCTTCTCCACATTCAAACCTTGAGTACATTGTTCTGTCTTCAGAATATACCCAGGATGCATCAGTTCTCTCACCAGCTCCCCTGCTATAACTGGTCATTTCTGGCTTGGATTATGACACTAATATTTAATTCTAAAGTGCTCATTCTTTCAATTGTTCATCCATCTACCCATCCAACAACTACTAATAAACAATCACTTCAATCAGACACTGTTTTGGGTACTTAAGTACACAGAGTTTTGCCCTTTTGGCCTTTATAAAAGGAATACTTCTTACCCCTCCTGAATATCAATGTGGTACATTATTCTAGAACATAACTGCAAGTATACTAAACAACCAATACTGAGAAAATTAATGACCAGGTAAGGAATTATTTTCCAAGTTGGGATTCTAACACAGTGCTTCTAAACCAAACTAAACTGGAGAATCTAATGTCATTAGGAATATTGTGACACATCAGTGTCAGTAAATGATTTTTAGCATATAACTCAGAAAGAATAAAAATAATTGAACGACACTGCTATATTAACATTCCTTTTATTCCCTATTTAAATGAACAAAATATTTTGGCCTTTACATCTCTAAAAATTAAACAAAGAAAATAAATTGATGATAAATTCTGTCAAATTCGAGCAATAAAAAAAAAAATACTCACCCATGGCAAGTTAAGTGATAAAAAGCTCAATCTCATTAAGAAATACATTTTAGCCCTGGCCGGTTTGGTTCAGCAGTTAAAGCGTTGGCCTGCGGTTGAGAGACCCGGGTTCGGTTCCCGTTAAGGGCATGTACCTCAGTTGCAGTTTGTCCCCGGCCCTGGTTGGGTCGTGGGTGGCAACCACTCGATGTGTCCCTTTCACGTTGATGTTTCTCTCTCTCTCTCCCTCCCTCCCACTCTATCTGAACAAAATATCAAAAAATGTCCTCGGGTGAGGATAAAAAGAATAAAAAAAATACATTTCAATAAAAATATTACTTTTTCTAACTGAAAATTGTGATATTTGTATTTTGATGACCAGAACTGCTTAACTTTTAGAATACATGATCACAAAATATGCAATAAATTTAAATATTTATTTTATTTTATTTTTGCTGATTCAGGAAAGAATGATAACCAATAGATTTTCATGCCTAAAACCATACTACATACAAGTAGAATTCTGTGGGCCAGGGTTTCTCAATAGCGTAGCACTGCTGACATTTTGGGCTGGTTAAATCTTTGTTGTTTTGAAAGTTGCCTTGTACAATATAGAATGTTTCGCAATATCCTTGTATTCTTCCCAGTAGATACCAGTACCCCACTCTCCCACCCCGCCTGTTGAAGACCAAAATGACTCCAGATATTGCCAAGTGTCAACTAGGAGGCAATAGTCCCTAACTGGGAACCATCACTACAGGGGACAGAATAGGAATGCAATGTGAAACTGTGACTATCAAAGAGCCAGCTCACTTAAAAAACAGACAGACAGATGATGGGTATCAAAACACTGTATTTAATTCCATTGCTACATTTAAGAGTTACAGCTATTATAAAATGACATTTTACAATGCACTGGAAATTACATTGTTTGCCATTGTTTAAACTTATTAGGGAACAAATTTGGATGCTAGCTTATAATCTATTAGCCAATAGCTGAAAGCATTATGTAGTTTATAAAATAGGTGAGTAACGTACATTAACATGAACTTACTGATCTTTTTCCAAACCCTAATAAAGTACTTCAGAATAATCTGACTTTTTTCCCTCGAGTAATGCATAAAGTTTTTGAAGACTACTTTCTTGATAGAAGTCTACAAAATGTAACTGAAAAGAATTTGGTTTTTACACAAACATAAAATATTTAGATAAAAAAAGCAAATGTTTTTCAAAACTCAACTTGCATAGACTAGTAACCTTTTTTACTTCCATTTTTTAAATGAAGCTTATACAATTCTAAGGAGAATAGTTTAAGAACTCCAAAGTCCTTCTCCATACCAAATGAAGGCTCTGTCGTTCATTTCTGAGTTATTAGTACATAGAAACAGTATCCCATTAATTCTGTTACTAGTCACTTAAACAGTCTCTCACTATATGTCCCAATTATTTCAGCTTCATCGGTTTACTGGCTTAATCCGTTTGCTTATGGAATCAATCATTCTAACTATAAATAAAATGCATGCAGTGCTTTTATTGTTTTAAAACAACTCTACATAAATGATCACATATTAATTGAACACACCTACAGGACAGGTACAAAAGATGCGGAAGAAATGTGCAGTTTAGTAATAAACTTGCCAACATTTCAGCAGCAGTAGCAGCTGAGCTGCCATCTCCAGACCAATCACATCAAGCTCCATTCTCATGAAATCCTCATTTGAGTCTACTCATAACTTTACATTGTAGGAGTTTGGGAGGCTTGGAGTCAAGTTAAACCAAATTACCGCCAAAGGTGGCAGAAAGTCCTTAGCTGTAGCAGCGAAATTTCTCTGTCATTTTGTACGAGGCTTGAAGACTAAACCTTCCAATCTGTCTGTATGTAAAGCAACAGCATTTAAAAACCACTTGTACGTTGACTATATTAAACTGTTCAAAGTCTTTTTTCGAAGTCTGAAATCTTGTATCATGAAGGACAAACATTAACTTCAACAGTCCTTCTCAAGGGGATGGCTCTTGTACAATCCAATGGCTCGAGAACAGTGAATGTGATCATGCCGTGTAAGTTTCTCCTTAGGCCTCTGTAGAGTGGGTCTACCTGCCAATCACTAGGGCCTACTAAAAATCAACGTTCAATCTCTGAAATTAACTCGGTTAAGACCCAGGTATTTAACACTGTATCGGGAACCACCTATCCTTCAGACTAACAACTGCTCCTCATTCTGAGCAGTAAAATGCTTTTAACTATATTTTAGCGTTAAACTAAAGATCATTATAATTATGTATTCGCAGGTACCCCGGTCCTCTAAAACTTACACCAAGTCGAGGCGCCCTAGTTCATCTCCGAGTTATTTTTACAGCGGCGGCGCGACCCCGCGCCAAGCAGCCTGCGCGAGCGCCAGGCGGCCCCGTCCCCATGGTTACCGCCACAGCAAGTCCCGGCCAATGGGAGGCGCGGGGCGCCCTCTCTCCCGAGGCGGCGCCGGACGTCCCGACGCCCAGTAGGAAACGGCTTCAGGGCCAGGCTGGGAGAGCAGGCGGGGGCAGAACCACCCTGCCAACAGCTCGTCCCCGCCGCTCTGCAGCGAGGAGGGCAGGACTCCTGGCGACCCCAGGCCACGAAGGTTCCCTGGAGTCCTACCGTCCCTTTAACACGGTGGCTTGAGGACTTCAATGTTTCCGTGTCCACTCAGGAACATTTAAGATGCCTCGAGAGAAATGACATGCCAAAGACGAAACCCCCAACAAGCCCCACACCCCACCGCTCCGTTTTCTCCGGAGACTAGTGCCTGCACTTGGAGGCCGAGGGCCCCGGGAGACACACGAGCGCCCCCGCCAAGCACGCCCCGCCCCGCCCCAGGCGCACGACCCACTCATATAAGGCGCGGGGCGGGGCACGACACCCCGCCCACTGGCCCGCCCCGCGCGCGCCGTCGGACATGGGTCCGGCAGGTTTCCGCAGTTTAGTTCTCCTCCTTCCCCGGCGCAGAGGCCCGTTTCCACAGTGGAGAAGCCAGGCTGCAGGATCAATAGTAGTAAGAGATGGACTCTGACTAAGAGTCATCTCAGCAGCAGAGCTCGAGAGAGATCCCTCCTCCGAAGCTCGAGCTCCGCCCCCACGGAGACGCCCCCCAAAGCCGCCCCCGCGAGCCCGCGCTTACGCTTTCCGGGCGCGCGAGCGCTCGTCCGCCCGCTTGCCCCGCCCCCGGCTCCGGGCCCTCCGGAGAGCCAGCGTGTACGAGCCCGGGCGTGCGGCTCCGGGGACGCGCGGGCGCTTCCTCCATCCCACCTTCCTACACTGTTGCTACTTTTGGGTGTGAGACACTCCAGCTTCTCTTCCCCTTCCGTGAGTCCCTCCTTCCTTCTCTAGACCGGCGCGCCCGGCCGCCGCCGCAGCTCCCGCGCCCCGAGCTCGCAGTGCGCGTGCGCGTGCGGTCGCGCGGCGTTCGGGCCCCGCGCGCCCTCCCCCCGCCCCTCTATAACTTGGCTGGCTGGGAGGAGGCGCCGCGGGAGTCGGAGGGCGGGGAGCTCGGAGGAGGGAGCTCGAGAGTTGTGGAGACTAGTGACTGGGAGAAGTCGCAGCCTGCCCCGGTCGCTCCTTCCCGCTCCCGGTCTCGCGCACACACCTCCTCCGCCTCCCGCCCCGGCCCGCGCCCTTCTCCTCCTCCCGTCCCGGGCCTCCGCGGGTCGCTCTCCGGGCTCCGGCGCGGCGGGGGCGCCCCGGGGGTGCCCTCGCCCTCCGCGTGCGGACGGGCGGCGGGCGGGATGTGGCGCCTGGTGCCCCCGAAGCTGGGCCGCCTGTCCCGCTCGCTGAAGCTGGCGGCGCTGGGAAGCCTGTTGGTGCTGATGGTGCTGCACTCGCCGTCGCTGCTCGCCTCCTGGCAGCGCAACGAGCTGGCCGACCGGCGCTTCCTGCAGCTCAATAAGTGCCCGGCGTGCTTCGGCACGAGCTGGTGCCGCCGCTTCCTCAACGGGCAGGTGGTGTTCGAGGCGTGGGGCCGCTTGCGCCTGCTGGACTTTCTCAACGTGAAGAACGTCTACTTCGCGCAGTACGGCGAGCCCCGCGAGGGCGGCCGGCGCCGCGTGGTGCTCAAGCGCCTGGGCTCGCAGCGCGAGCTGGCGCAGCTCGACCAGAGCATCTGCAAGCGGGCCACCGGCCGGCCGCGCTGCGACCTGCTCCAGGCCATGCCGCGCACCGAGTTCGCGCGCCTCAACGGCGACGTGCGGCTGCTCACGCCCGAGGCGGTGGAGGGCTGGTCCGACCTGGTGCACTGCCCCTCGCAGCGCCTGCTCGACCGCCTGGTGCGCCGCTACGCCGAGACCAAGGACTCGGGCAGCTTCCTGCTCCGCAACCTCAAGGACTCGGAGCGCATGCAGCTGCTGCTGACCCTGGCCTTCAACCCCGAGCCGCTGGTGCTACAGGTAGGCGCGGAGCCCGGCGGCGGCCTGCGGGAGGGGCCGCGCGGGCGCCGCCTCGGACTCACTGGAGAGGGGCCCGCCGACCCGCCCTCCCGGGCTGGACCCGGCCCTCCCGGGCGAGGCTGCGAGCTGGGGAAGGGGGCAGCGCTGGGGTCCCTTGGGCTCTGCGGGTTGCCGAGGGCGACCCGGCGGGTGCGGAGCTGCCCTTGTCACCTAGGTGCGGCGCTTCTCGGATTTGACTGCGGATCCTTCAACGCCAGAGGGAGCGCGTCTAGTATGCTCCCCACATGTCTGCTGCTAGTTTTCTTCGGCTCTCCTTGCCTGTCTGCTTCCATCTGCCTGGTTGCACTTACGGCACGCTCCGTCCACGAGTACTGGGCCGTCCTTAGTCTTCTCAAGCGTCCCCTTCGCCGCGTTTGCTCTCCCCCTAGTACCCTGCATGGCTGGCCAACTTTGCCCCCGAAGTCCCGCTTTGTTTATGCCTTCGCTCATTTACCTGGCAAATCCGTGGGAAAGCTCATTTGGGCAGAAGCCGGGGAAGACAGGGACAGAAAATGTAGGCTGTGGTCAGGGTGGGGTTAATCATGGTCCTTGTTTTGGGTGGGATTAGGAAGAGGAAAAAGTTGAGGAAGGCTTCCTTGGATTTTAGGGCTGGGAGGGTTAAGGCCAAGTCGGACATTTCCACCCTGCTCCTGTGACCTGCCCCATTCGTCTGGTATTTTGCTGCGGGAAGGAGATGAAATGTTACAGGCCGGGGCGAGAAAAGGGGGAAGGGGATCGTCACCTCTCCTCCAGTTCAGCCATTGGCTCTCTCTTGACTTTCTTTTGAAAACAAACGTGCCTTCTGAGGGAGTAGGTTGAGCTCTTTCTATTGGTGACAGCCAAAAAAAGGCTGTGTTTACCTTTGGAGTAGTTACCGAGTTTCTACACATTCCCACCAGGCTTTTGCACGGTGTCCTTGGATAGTGGTTACCACCATAGGGGTGTGACCCCTCTTGATAACCGCAGGAAAAGTTACTTGCATTTTTTCCATACCAGTTTTGCTGTAGTATTTTAAATACGAGGGGGAAAACATTTAAAATTAGTCACACATTAATTGTGATGTAATTTGCATCCTTTCTGTTAAGAATGTCACACTGATGGCTGGGGGTTTGTGCAGGGTTGCATAAATTAGGAATGTGCCATATTCATTTATGCTGTTTTCTTTTCTCATGTTCCACTGCCCAGCTTAGCTAAGAGAGACCAGTGTCATTTGACTAGTTCAGCCAAATAATTTTAACTCAAATATTTTGCTTCAGACAAATCTTGAGTGTGGTTCTCGGTAAATTTTAAGGTGTTACAGGGTATACTATGTAACGGGTCAAATTCAAAGTACTGATTGTATATTAAATAGTGCTCTCTTTGACAGTGAAATGGTTAAACATCCATTGGAGAAATTTATTTGGTAGTTTTAAAATTAGTCAGCTGCTAAAGTTTAAGTCTTTATTTATGATATATACATTTGATTTGACACTTTTTTCACTTAAACTGCCCTTTTCTCTTTGAGAAATAGGTGGTTTTGTTAGCAAGGTGGTTCCTGGAGAAAGCTTTAGCATTGTAATTTGCTGAGGACGTAGATTGGTCTCTCAAATTATCTGGGACCCAAACGTTTAGTAAGGAGCTATTAGTAGTTAGTAGAATACACATTTTCTGCATTTCTAATAGTGGCTGCCTATTGAAAGATTTTTATCGGGTAATGCTGAATATTGAAGTATTAGAAACAACTAATATTAAAACTAATATTTTAAGAACATTATGTGTTATGTATGCAGTTCTTTATAAACATATGGCATTTCAGTATGAGAAACTGGCATTTGATTTGCACTAAGGTAAACCTACTTTATTTGGGAAGAGTTTCTATTTTCAAAGTTTGAAGTCATCTTGGCATATGCAGTTTATAGTTAAGATAGTTGTGTGTTTATATTTTGTTTTCTCATGAACTCTTCCCTCAAACTTTTTCTTTCTTCTGTTTTCATCTATAATGATAAACAGCTTTTTAAAAAATCAGTTATATTTTTGCAATTTAAAACTTAGTAACACAATTGCGTTGAGTGAGTAGGTGGATAGATGGGTTATAGGCAGGATGGGTTTGTTTTTAGTAGGTGAGAAAGTATATGGATCAACATTGTTGACTGGCATTTGTAAATTTCATTTTGAATTTAGGCAACCCAGTTCTATACATGGCTGTGTGAAATATAAATTCTCGTCTTTGGTACCACCAATCAGTCATATTGGCGTGTTTATTTTTTTTATTTGATGAATAAGCAAGTAGAATAAGACTTATTTTTAAATAAGTGATCTTCATAGAGCTGCTACTTTCATCTTTGGTGAAAACTAGTGAGTTAAGTGTGGACAATGTTACTTGAGGTCTGATGATAGTATGAAACCATTGAAATGAAAGGAATCTCAAAATTCTGTGATCAAGTACAAAGATTGTTACACACTAAGTCAAATCATGATTTTCATTACTTTTTGTTATCTAGACAAATGTATACAATTTTAGTATCTATACCAGTTTATATAAAACTATTAATAGCTGCTTTTGTTAGTTTTGGGATGTTAATTGATAATAGAAAAACTCACTAAAATTTGGTTCTCTAGTTGTGTATATTTTTTGGTTCATGTATTTTTAAAAATGTTTTTATAAGGGTACAAGTATGTGTTATACAGTTTAAAGAGGAACTCACTTTGTTTTTTGTTTTTTTACCCCCAGAGGTGGGAACTACTTTTTGAATTTTTGGACATTCGGTAACAAACTAACTTATATTGCCTAAAAATTACTTACTTTGGAGAAAAAGTCTTTAGCTGACATCATCAATCTTTTTAACAAAAGTTCCAGTGTAGTAAACATATTTCCAAAATAAACATTTAAAAAGCTCCTCTGATAAGGTGCTAATGAGAGAATTGAAAAGTAATATATGAATTTAAATCATTAAACTTGCTTCTTCTGATTTTAAGAAATAATAACAAATTGAAGTTTCTATTATGCCTTGCAAAGGACATGTGAAAGGTATTAAATGTCTGTTAGGTATGTTACAAACATACTTTACCTGTGTAAGGCTATATAGATTTGTAATGTGGAATTCCCATTTTAAATGGTATGGAAATACAACTAATTCTCTTTCCATTGTTGGATAGTTTTACTAGCTTACAGGAGCTTATCTAGCTCCAAGGAAAGTTATTCTGTTGTAGAATTATTTTCTAAAATTTTTTTTATAAACATCAAGCAACAGGATAATGCTTGATGTTTATAAAAATAATGTTTCTAATTTCACCAAGAAGTATATTTTAATTACAAGTATACCTTAATCCTATGAAAAAAAATGGGGAGAAGGATTTTGTTGATTTTATATTGTGTAATAGCATTCTTGGAATATTAAAAAGTTGAGATGCTGAAGTATTTGGCAGGAAGTCAGCATGTTTTCTGTCACTATATTGGTAAATTTTCTACCAGTATTTGTACTCACCTATTCTTGAAGTTGTAGAAGTTGTGTATGAGAGAAAAATGTTGTCTGGCTCTCCTGAAGTCCAGACTATATTATCTCTGACATTTTACCTGGAGATGATGAAGATAGTTTTGCTTATAGAAATAAAGCAAGCTCTTGGTTGTTTAGGGAGGTGGAGGTGGGAATTTGTTTTACTATTATATTTTGTAGAACTTTATTTGCCTTAAGTTTTCTGAATCATAGTTTTAATAGGACTTCCATGATTTTTACAGAGTGTAACTATCATTAATTAAGCTATGCATTTTAAGGTTTTATTTTGATTCCTGTAAGTAGCATTATACATTCAAAACACTTTATCCAGTGCCTTATGCATAGTAAGCACTCAGTGTTAGACATTAAATAAGGTAAAAGGAACTTTATCTAGTGTATTTGATCAGCTGTTTTGAAACTTGTTTGGATATGGGTCACCTTAAAAACAGTTACGATTCCTGCTAGCAACCATATTTTTATTTATATTGCCTTAATACATTCCTACATTATAGGATATATTTTTATAGAAAACTGATTGTTGTTATTTTTATCCTTAAAAGTAATTTCTACAGGAGAAGAATATATTTTTAAGGTGTACTGCCTAAGTTGCAGTTTTTGAAGTAAACAAAATATTATGGCCATTTAGGTAATTACAGGTTGGTAAACTTCTTTTTTTTTTTTTTATTAATTAATTTTTGTTACAGATGTTTCTCCTTTTTCCCCCACTGATTCCCCCTCCCCCTCCCTCTCTGCCCTTTCCCCAGATTGTTGTCCATGTCCACTGTTCATGCATACATGCATATAAGTTCTGTGGTTTATCTCTCCCCCACCACCCTCCTCTTTAGGGGATTGTCAGTCTGTACCCCGCTTCCGCGTCTCTGGGACTACCCCATTCCTCAGACTGTTATGTTCATTATATTCCACAAATAAGTGAGATCATATGAAACTTGTTTATGGGACTCATTTTATTTATCTGGAAAATTTTACTTATCTGTAAAATGAGACTGTTGGTTTAGATCCTTTCCTCTTCAACCCTAACATCCTATGACTCTCAATATCTTGACTTGAGAAATTACTATTTTTGTACTTCTCTTCAGAGCTTGACTGTAATCTGTCGGTTTAAAACTCTTCTAAAAGGGGGTTGGAGATTTGGGGAATTGGCCAGAATAGATAGATAACCCTGTTTCACAGTTGTCTTTCTATTCCTAAATTTTTACACACATGAAATGATATTAAAACAAAACAAAAACCAGAGACTGCCTTTTCTGTGGAGGTAGAGGTAGCCAGGGATCTTGCGGGTCTCTCCAACATTAGGAAGGATGCTCTGGACTTAGTCTGAGTTCCTCTTGAAGCAGCAGCACAGGGAGCCACGTGCCTGTCCAGCTGGTCCTTGCTGCAGGACCTGCGTCCCAGGTTCAGGCTTCAGTGACGTTCTGACTGGGTAGTTCTGAGTGGGGCACTTTTTATATAATAAATTCATAAGCTTAA